ACAAGGGATGAAGCTGCTTCACCCACAGGGCAGCCTCATGCCGTGGCTGTGCATAGATATGGGCTCAACTTTGCCAAATTATACTACTGTTCAATGAGCCAGAAACTCTCCTGTGTACAGGAATTTAAATTTTTGCTAATTCTCTGAGGGCTGCTAGTGTCTGAAACTTTTGCCCAGTAGTATTTTAGGTAAATCCTGCTTGTTTAGTGTTCAATTTGCCCCCAACTAGTATAAAATGTTCCTCAAATTCCCTGTAGGGCAGGACCAGACAGGTCCACCCCGATCCACTGGTGCTTAACCCCTGGGAAGCCACATGGTACTCCTCAGGATGCCAGGTCAGTTCACAAGTGGATTACTATGTGACTGACACACATGAGTGACTGAGGGCTGCTTCCAGAGAAGTCAGGATTCCTGGGGCATTGAAACAAGGAACCTAATGTTCACTCCCACACCTAGGCTTGGCAACCCTACAACCATGTGTCAGTGGCTTTACAGATCTTGTAGCCAAGGGCCTATGTGGGCCTGGGGGGCCACCAAGAGGCTAACGGGTGAGTACGAATGGGCCTGCCCCAGGCTAGACAAAGTTTGACAGTTTCTCAACTTTTGACTCACCCATGACATCCAGGATTCTTGGTTGCAAATTATGAGAAAATCCAATCTCATCTGAATAAGCCAGTACATGAAAATAATTCAATGGTTCCAGTATCCAGAAAGTTCCTAGTAATCCAGTCTTAGGCATGATTGGATACAGGGCCTCAATAGATCAGAAGCCTGCCTCCCAGCACCTCTGGCTCTGCTCTCCAGGAAGAACTTCCCTCTAAAGCAGGTCAACTTATGTGGCAAGATGGCCTCATGGCTCCAGGCCCACTTCCAGTCAGCCTAGCAACTCCTGAGGATTGTCATTGGCCTGGCTTGGACCATATGCCTGTGCTTAAACCAATCATATAGCCAGGAATGTGGGGCTCTGATTGGCCAAGTCCCTCTCTCCCATCAAAGTGCAGAGGGTGTTGCTTAGAGAAAAATGTTGATCCCTGACCAGAAGGGAGATGCCAGAGCCTTCTCCCTCCAAGCCCCTCCTCTGTTTTGCAGCTGTGCCTGTCTTCAGAAACCCAAAAGGAGGAGATTTAAATTAGAGCTGGGGATATGGTGGTCGAACAAAAAACAAAGCACTCTTGTGCCTTTGCCCATACTGAGGGAGCAGCTTGTTGCTGCAGATCTGGCCCCACCAATACCCCTGACCTGGTCACACACACCCCTACTTCTAGAAATGTCTTCAAATTAGTCTCTGTTCCAGGCAACCATGAGTTTAGCACAGAATTCATAAATGTCAGCTGCCATTGTTGCTCTATTAAATTCTAAATTTAGAGACCAATTTTAATTTTCACTGGCATTTTTTATTGATTACAGCATTCAGAATAAAGAAAGGTTGACTGAGATTGCTCCCCAGTATGAGAGGAATTTAGGCCTGAGCTATAACCATTCATTGGTCTGCAGTCTTCCTGCCCTGGAGCCCATACATAGCAGTGAGCATGATATAAGCAGTAACCAAGCCCGGGAGAGCACGAATTTGGGCCCTTCGCTCTGGCTGGCCTGGCAGGCTTGTGCAGACAGATTTCCTGGGCTGAGGGAGGASAGGAGCCAAGCCTCTGGGGCTTTCCCACACTTGGGTTCCCCAGAACTGGGCTGCAGCTACTCTGTTTGACAACCTGATCCTGTTTATCCTGCCTGGTCCCCACATGATGGCTCGCACTGGCCCCTCTTTTAGTTTTCCCATGTGTAGCCTCACAAGGTGCCCCTCCTTTGTCTCATTCAGGCTGCCCAAGAGCAAAACCTCTCAGCCCCACTATCAGACACAGTCTTCACCTTTTATGCTCAGCCTTCTCTGCAGCAGAGCTTTTAACTTTCTGTTAAGATGCCCTTGAAGAGCTGGTAAAAGTTATGCAAGTATGCCCAATAACGTGCAAACAGGCCCATCGATAGGACTGCATTGTCTGCAGGCAGCTTTCTGGGTCCCTGAAGCACCATGTTAAGGAATCCTATCTGGGAAGAACTTCCCCTTTGAAGTACTCATGCTCTTACTTCTCCAGGACCTTTATATTCAGTCCTTACTTCTTTCCTTATTCCTCCACCATCATCAGGGCTTGGGTCACATATGACGCTAAGTGAAGGCCCCCCCAACTTCCTATGTGAATGGCAATGAACACATATTGAGCATTTAAGTATGTGCCAGATACTGTTGCAAGTGCATTGTGGGTTTTAATACATTTACTTTTCACTGTACTAATTCATCTGCATTATCTCACTTAATCTTCATAGTGACTAGGAAGTAACCACCACTCAGATGAAAACATAAAACAGGTTTAGTGCCCAGAAGTTTCCCRTGTGTACCCCCATGTTATTACCACTTTGCTTCAGAAGCAACTACTGTTCCAATGACCAGTCACCATAATTTTTCTTTTTTTGTTGTTTCTCTTTCCTCTCCCTTTCCCATGGTTATGGGAATTGAACCCAGGGCCTTGTGCATGTTAAACATGTGTTCTACCACTGAAACACATTTCCAGCCCAATTTCCCTTTTCATAAACTTCAAATAAATGTAAACTTCATACACATGTGCCTAGCTTCTTGTGCTCAATATTATATGAGATTCATTTGTGTTTCAGTGATTTGTATCTTTTATTGTTGTATAGTATTCCACTAAATGAATACAACAAAATTTATTTACCCACTTTATTATTGATAGAAATGTCAGCTCAGATCTGGGGTATCTGGAACTCTCACTCTTTTCTGATGAGAGTATACATTGCTACAGCTATTAAAGAAGACTCCCTTTTCAATAAGTTATAATAACTCATTTATTGTGGGCCAGGCACTGTGCTTAATTCATCTCACTTAATMCTCATAGTGGCTAGGAAGTAGATAGTTGTCATCTGTGAGATGGGAATCAAGGTATCAGTGTAATATAATTATTGTGAAGTTTAACTGAGATGACACTTTGAAGGGCTTAATCTAAAGCTGCCATTTTGAAAATGCTACCAATACCTGTTATTGTTATTACCAAGGAGCACAGGGTTGGCGGTTCAGGATCTTGGGTTTCATGCCTATATAAGATGTCTTAAGCAAGTCATCTTTGCAGCCTTGGCCTTAGAGTGCCGGCACCTAAGCCAATATCCTATTCAGGACCTCTGGGGATGACACAAGCTTCTCTTCAATAAACCCTAGGCAATGACTGTCTTATTCAATGAAGACAGTCATGGAAGGAGACAAGACCAAGACTGTAAATGAGGAGGAGGCTTGGAGGTTTTCAAAGCCCTGTTACATACTTTCTCTAGAAGTTGAGTACAGAAGGTACTTCCAAATGATGATCAATTAATACCTGCTTCTCACTAGCTTGTAAGCTCCACGGAGCATGGTCAGTGTTTTCAGTCACTCATTCACAAATACCAGTGTAGCCAGTTGCGGTGGACTGTTCCATAATCCTGGTGGTTCAGGAGGCTAAGGCAGTAGGATCCCAAGTTCCATACCAGACTCAGCAACTCAGCAAGGACCTAAGCAACTTAAAGACACCCTGTCTCAAAATAAAATACAAAAAGGGTTGGGAATATGGCTCAGTGGTTAAGCACCCCTGGCTTCACTCACTGGTACCAAAATAAAAAATACGATCGAAGTGTTCCCTTTCCTCCTCAGATGTCAAGATCTGAGGAATACAGCAGTGTACTAGACAGGTGAGGCAAGGAGCGAGAGACAAGGAAATAAAGCAAGAAACATGGTGGCGAGTGCCGTGAAGAGGTCAGTGGAGAGGACCTCCTGGGGAGAGTCGTGTTTTAGATGAAGGGGTCACCAAAGACTTTGAAGTTCACAGGATGAGCAACTCAAATGGGTCAAAAAGGAACTGACAAGCTCCAAGGCCCAGAGGTGAGAAACAGAAGGTGGGGGGAGAGAGGGCAGGGTTCAAGACCAGGTCTGAGGCCAGTGAGGCGAGTATCCATGGAGCCTTGAACCCCAGAATGATGCATGTGTATTTGATCTTAAGGTTGATGAGAAACAACTGGGAGGTTTTAAGCGAGAGATGGTTGCACGGGGATCCTAGTGTCAGAAGGGTCTTTTGATGCTTAAGGTGGAGCGGGGGTGGGTTGCGGAAGAGAGACGTGTAAAGGAAGCAGAATGTAAATAGTTTGAATGATGAATGAATGCACTAATAAGATGAATGGACACGCAGCCAGGAATAACACCTGGCCCACAGGAGGTCACAGACTCAGCGGCCTGAAGCCCAGGCACCAGGCACTGTGACCTTGGGGACATCCACGCCTCGCACTCAAGGCCCGGAACTCTGCGTCTCAGGGGCGGGGAGGACGTGCTAGGAGGGCAGTGCGCGCGCACGCGAGGCAGACAGACGACGGGTTCTCCGCTCCGGGGTTCTCTCGTGCATCAGTCCGGCCAGGACCACCCAGCCGGGTCCCGAACCCTCGCAGCCAGCGGTGTTTACATTCCACCCGCGCCGGCCACGCGGCTCTCTGCAGCCGCAGCACCGGTGGGCTCCGCCCCTCGGCCCGCCCCTCCGTGCAGCTCCCGCCAGACTTCTCCCGCGTCAGGCCCCGGCACGGCCCCGCCCCCGACCGTGCGCGCTGGCCGGCCCGCTCGCTCTCCCGCGTCCCACCCCGCGCAGGCCCCGCCACAGCCTTGTGGTCCCGCCCACCACGTCCCGCGTCCTGTCCCTCCGGCGCGCAGGCCCTGTCATTTAACCCCGCCCCTGCGCGGGTTCCGCCGTAGGACCCGCCCCAGAGACTCCGCCCCTGGGGTGGCCCCGCCCCCGATCTGGCCCCGCCCCCAGCGGCCCTGAGAGCCTCGCTGGCCTGCGCCGAGGCGGGGGCGGTCCTGAGGGCGGTGGCTGGGCGGGCCCTGGCCCTGGGGCTGCCGCTGAGGGGCTCCGAGCCCGGGCGGGGCGGGGCAGAGGTGGCTGGGAGGCGCGAGGGCGGGCCGGGGCCGGTTCCGCGCGCAGGGATTTTTAAATGTCCCGCTCTAAGCCGGGCGCAGGAGCAGCCGGCTCGGCAGCCAAAGCGGTGTAGGGGGCAGGCGCGGATCCCGCCACCGCCGCGCGCTCGGCCCGCCGCCGCCTGCCGCCTCCCGCCTCCCGGCTTCCCGCTCGCCTCCGGCCTCCTGCCTCGGCTCGTGCGCGCCTGCCTACCGCGGAGACCGCTTCGGGTAAGGCCCCGCTGCGGACTGCGGAGACTGGCGCCTCGGGCGGAGACTCCCAGAGCACCCGGGTCGGGCCGGGTCGGGCCGAGAGTGGGGGTGGGGCGAGGCCGGGTCGCCGGGTCTTCTGGTCCCGGAGGCGTCAGCGCGGGGTGCCCCGGGTAGGGTGGCTCAGAGACGGGTAGGAGAGGTGTTGAAGGAAAGACTGAGGCAGCCCCGGCCCAAAGGGAGAAGATGGGACTGAAAGGTTTCGGGGGTCGTCTGGACCCCCATCTCCACTACGGGTTCGGACCCGAAATCTCGGGCTGCTGGCGGCGCCGCGGGTGACAGGCCACCCCGGGCCCATCGGCCATTTTCCCGACCGGCCCGGGAGGCTCCCGCCGCCGTCCGCGCGGGAGGGGGGAGGGGTACCCGGGGCAGGCCCGCGGGACCTGGCCCCCTCCGCCCGCCGGTGGTCTTCACCCCGCTGCCCGCTTCGTGCCCCCCAGGTCTGAAGTCGTAGCCAGAGCCAGAGCCTGCGCCATGCCAAGGGAAAGGAAGGAGAGGTGAGTGGCCTGGCTGCAGCGAAGGGTAGGGTGTGCAGCCGTGGGGGAGGGGCTGGTTAAGATTTGGGGAGAACTCACCTCAATTTCTTTGCCACCATGGCTTTGCAGAGATGGGAACGAACGGGACCCTATGAAAGAAGAAGGTGGCACTGACTTCTCTGTTCGCTCCAGGAAAAGGAAGGCAAATGTGGCCGTTGTGAGTACAAAGGGGATAGATTGGAGATTATACCCCCCCCATCTTACCTGGGTACCAGACATGGGTCTGCACACATACCTATTGATGGGACTTGGTGCGTGTGTGTGTGGGGGGGGTCACTGCCAGAAATGGTACTCATAATCAACCCCCCTCCCCTTCTCTCTTTTTTTGTCTTTGGGTTATTCTGTGTTTCTTGGGGATTGTGGATTGTTTTATGTTAGTTTTTGCAGGATCCAGATGAAGAAATTGCCAAAATTGACAAGACTGTGAGAGACCAGTGTGGCAGTCAGGTAGGTGGCCTCCCATTAGGCCTCATGGAGGGCCTCCAGCTCTCCTGGGTCCAGCTGGGTTTTAGACTTTCTTGTCTTCTGTTGAAGATACTGGTTTAGAGTTGGTTTCTCTAATTAGAGCCACAGTCCACATGGTTGAGTACTGTGACTGTCAGAGCACACTGGCCTTTGCTAGCCTTGAGATTCCAGGAAGGGCTTGTGTGTCTTGATGGCTCTCTCTGAGGTTGCAGATATGTGCTAACACCTAAAAGAACCAGAGTGCACATCAAATAACTCCTTTTTCCCATGAGGAAACTGGGATTCAATTAGAGGAAGAAAGCAACCCAGAGTCTGTAAGCAAGTGAGAAGCAGAGTTGGGCCTACAATCTTGTCTCTAATGGCTAGTGAACTGGGTGGGGTAGGGCTCCTACGTGTTGTCCTCTTCCTCCCCATCCACACCTGTGCAGTTTTGTTTTGTTTTTTTATTTGTTTTTTGTAATGGTGCTTTAGTACTTCTCATTTCCTTTAAGTCAAGTTTCAAAGTTTTACCTCTTTTGTGTCCCTGAATGTTCCTCCAGCCCATTCAGCAATCCCCCCACATGGATCAGTTCTGTTGGGCTTAACCTGGCTTCAGCAAGAGTATTAGTGGAACGTTCTGGGTAATGGTCTGTGTGTCAACTCATTTTTTTATTGACTACTCCATTTCTCTTGCCCCTCCTTATGGAGTTCCTGCCAAATTTCCTGTATGCAGTGTGATATCATTGTAAACATCAGAAGTTCCTTGCAGAAAGAGCTTGTATTATCTCTTTACCTCCAGAAATGGCTGGAGTCTGCAGTTAGGGCTCCAATGGGGGAAGCAGACTATCTCCAAACTAGCTAGTCAGGCCTTCTGCCTCTATCACAGATAAAAAGCTGAGCAGGAACAGTACTTGACCTGAGTGTGGCAGTAGTCCCAATAAGGTTTGCAGTGGACACACATCACTTTGTAAAGCGGTGAGCAATAGCCATGGTAGCTGGTCTGAAAGAGCGAAGTGCTTCAAAGTGATGGGCCATGTTGTTTGTAATAGCAGTTGTTACTATATATTAATACCCTAGTTAAAAGCATCTCTGGGAAAGACCACTGAATATTGAATAAGGAGTTTATTTCCTTCTCTGTTAAAAGAAATGCTTCTCTGCAGGAAAGTAAATAAGACAGTCATCCAAAGTCATTTCTTCTTTTTCTCCCCTTAAAAGAGCCTTCAAATCAAGCAGGTTGATTTTTGTGGGTATTATAAAATGAATCCCTGCTTTGTGAAATTCAAGATTGTTTCTTTTCTCCAGCTGTATTTTGAATAGAAATTTCCAAGATGAAGCAAATCCATCCATATATTGACTTGGAGTTTCTGTTCTCATTGGCATTTCTGTTCTCAATGTATAACTTGAATATTGTTTAAGTGCCTCAGATAGGACTGTGGCATTGTATCTGGGTGGCTGAGAGGTGATAACTGTGATGCATGAACAGCCATGTCATTTCTCCCAGGAAGGCATTTTCATGGTTGTCCACAAATTAATCAATAGTTTCTGCACATCTTAGAGAATAGATGGTATCTTGAAAATTATCCACCTATTTATGGAGCATTTTTGTTTTTTCTCTGTAAAGATTTCATGAAGCTAGAATTGGGGGGTTCAACAGATTTTTTGCCTATTAATTAAGAAGATTTTTCTCAGCCTACTATAACAGATTTGAGCTAGTAGAAGCCATTGTGCCTTTGTACTTCCTCAAGACCACATGGAACTTTTGGTGATTCTTACTTAGGCCATTCTTAATGAACAGAGTGCCCTTTTACCTAAAATCTATTTCACATGTCCATTTTGTTTAATTTTCACGTAAGACCCAACTTTTTTGTTTGAAATGGAATCCTGGACTATTAGTTATTTCTCAGAAAATTTTGCAGAAATAAAGTTAAGTAGTTAGCAATAGTCACAGTTGGTCTCTGGCTGTTGTCCTCTTCTTTCCTCCCTAAAGTCAGACTGATCTTGCTTCCTTTGAAACTTGGTATACACTGAAGGTGAAGGACATTGATTTAATTATTCTGACTCATCCACTGGCTCTTAAAAAGGCCACCTTTGGAAGCCATTTGTCTGCTTGTGGTACACTTAATTTGTCTATGAACTGCAGGTTGGGAACTGCTACTGGTTAGTTTTATCTGCATAAGCCTGCACTCAGAAGTGCCAGCCATCTGGCCTAGGAGGGTGACACCCAACTTGTGCCTTCAGAACTAGAATTAATTCTTGAACAGTTGTAATGTGAACCTTTAGTCAAGGAAATGCTACCAACATATGATACTAGAACCAAAAGGAAGTTGCCTTTCTTTYGCAGCTGTTGGCAGGAGCTGTCATGGATAATTTGCATGCCCAATTGTTTCTGCATTGAGTGGGGAAGAGCTTTATCCAGCTTTGCCCTTCTCACTAGACAAAGCATTTGGGTTTGCTCTGAAGATGGCCTGTTGCTGTGGCAGCCACTGTATTGAACATGTATTGAACAACTGTAATGATAGGACTGTGGCATTATATCTGGGTGGCTGAGAGGTGATAACTCTCAGCCACCCAGGTACAACATGGGTTGTCTTCAAGGGAGCACTTAGAGCAGAATTTCCATGTTCATTACAGTTGTTCCAGGTGTCTATTTTGTTCTCTAGTCAACATAATGATCTCTGTTTTAAAAAAATGACAAGTGGCTCAGATAGTACTTCCATGCTAGCAGGATTGTCACCTGCCTAATATCTTCAGTTACAATTTTATAACTTTAAAAATTAAAATAATTCTTTTTATAGTAGGATGGTAAATAGTGACTTAAAAAAGAAAATATTCCAAATGACAAAATGATCTTAGTCTTTTCCAAACACTGAAATTTCTGAAATCTTTCAAATAAAAGCATACTGTTTGGGTTCTTAATGATAATTCATTCATCAGATATTTGAGTCTGACTGCAAGGATCTGAGGGTAGGATTCAAAGGTCTAGGTTCTCTCTCCATGGACTTCGTATGACCTGTGACCATTGCTTGATTTGGTTTTAACTAGGTGGCTGATTTTTGGAGTTGCGGAAAACAAAAGGTTTGTCTGATATATTTGGCTAGTCTTTTTTTGTAATGTCAGAGCTATTTGCCTGTATCTTACCTCTTCCATGTCCATTTTGCTGCTCAAGCACCTCAGTTGAGGGGTGATAATGTAGAGGATAAAATGCTACTGATTTCTTAGCTTCCTTAGGAATTCACTGCATGGACTTCTAAGCTAGTGACGGAAATGAAATGAAAGCTGGGAGTCATTACCCTCTTTTACTTGTCCATGCCATATTCATCTTAACTTAGATCAGAATATGTAGTCCTGGATATTATTCTTTAGTGTGGTGATGTTTTCTGAAGTACTGGTTAATCTACAAATCCATGAATGTAAAAACAGCTGGTTTACATCAAACATTTTAAAATGTGTTTTTCAATTACAGCCTTGGGACAATAATACAGTATGTGCAAATCCCTGCTCCTTGATCCCCACACCTGACAAAGAGGAGGATGAGCTGGTATACACAAATTCTACATTTGGGCCTCAGAGATCTACACCATCCAGAGCCTCACCACTTCCTTTACTGAAGTAAGTGCTGACTTTGCTACATGACTTCCAACCTCTACTCCACTTATTAGTCCTCCTTAGTATGGATGCATACTGACACTTGTGTGGGGTTTTGTTTTGTTTTGTTTTTTTCTGTAGCTGGGCAAATAGAGAGGAGGTTTGGAAAATCATGCTAAACAAGGAAAAGATGTACTTAAGGGATGAGCACTTTTTGCAGCGACACCCTCTTCTGCAGCCTAAAATGCGAGCAATTCTTCTGGATTGGTTAATGGAGGTGAGCTCAGGTCTTCCCATTCACTGGACTCATTGGCCATTTCTAGATCCTTCTTTGCTATTAAGCTATCTGTGTGTGCTTGATTCCATTGATATATTCGATATCTCAGAAGCTTTCCTGGTATATTTAGTATAGCAGTCTAAACTTTTTACTTGCTTTTTTTTTTTTTTTTTGGTATGTGGGGAGGGGATTGATCCCTGCAGCGCTTAACCATTGAGCCACATCCCCAGTCCTTTTTTATATATTATTAGAGACAGGGTCTTGCCAAGTTGCTTAAGGCCTCACTAAGTTGCTGAGGCTAGCTTTGAACTTGAGATCCTCCTGCTTCAGTCTCTCGAGTCTCTGGGATTACAGGCATGAGCCACTGCACCTGGCTTTACTCGCATTCTTTTAAGAATTTCTAAGATCTCTTTATCCTGCAGGTATTTTAAAGTTGGCATCAAATTTTTTCCATCAAAGTTAAATAGTTGCAAAGACTTTATTTTCCAATAAATTGTAAATATTGATATTTGAGCTCTGTTCATTAAGTTGCTTTTAAATGTATCTACTGGAATGCAGGTATCAGCTATTTGATAGCCACTATCATAACTTGTAAAAATATATGAACAAGCTTATCTTTAATAGTCAAATTTCACATTGTTCCCTTTTAAATTCCAGAAGTCCATTTTTCTTTCCTCACAGAACAATTTCCTAACAGACCATACTGTTCTAATTGATCACACTGTCATACTTCTGCAACAACTGGTCAAAACAACAAGTATTACAAATCAGCAAGATAATCGTTTAATATAAAAAGTGAAATTTTATTGGCAGTGCCCCTCTTACTGGGATGCACTGCAAATAACTTCCTTGCTTAAGGGAGGCTTGATGGCTACTCAAATACTTGGGTAGCTGAAAAGTGTTTTTCTTCTGAGAAATGGGAGGACCCTCTCAGGCACATCTACTTTATGAAAGAGAACATGTAGAAGTTGAGTGTCTAACTATTTCCTATAAATGTGTTAACACTGTCATACTGTATATCCTGTAGAAGGTCAGCATTCTCCAGGGTATGCAAACCACAGTTGTGTTAGTCCTAGTATGAAATTCCCTGCTGCCACTTACCATCTAGGTGCTTAAGTCCAGCAAATCACCTGAGTCTCAGTTTTCTCATCTGTAATATTTTCTAGCAATATTTTCTTGCAGAGTTTGTGCAGATTAGAAATGATGTACATAAAGGTTTTTTTTTTAATCATTCTTAATTTGTGTTCTTCATTGGCCCCTAAGAATGTCAACATTTTTTTTTTTTTTTTTTTTTTTTTTTGTAGTAGATTCTTTAGAAGGCCTACTTTTTTAAAGTACAGGTCTTACAGCTGCCCACTATGGACTTACCATGTCACAATGACCTTCTGTGCCCTTTATAACATTTTATAATTTCTGGAAGTGTTGGATATAATAAGTGTGAATCTTTTAGGCTGTAATTTATTATAAAAGTGTTGAAATTGAGGACTGGGGAAGTAGCTCAGTGGTGGAGTTCTTGCCTGGCATGTGTGAAGCCCTGGATTCGGTCCCCATCACCATGACAAAAAATTTGACTGAGAGGTTCTCTTTTAAATGTAATTAATGCCATTATGTTTTGAAGGATAGATTTTATAAATAGCTATATATGGCTTAATCTGAACTTTAGAAATCATCTATGGTGATTGATAGAATTTTCTAGCAGAATTTTGTGTGTTTTTCTCTGGCACCTTTCTACATGTTAACCCCAACAGTTGCAGTTACAGGAGATAGCCTGTTGGTGAGTGGCAGTGGTGGTGTTGGAGTTTCACGTGCATAATCATACTTTTGGTGTTGGTACTGAGTTGAAGACTAATATTTTCTTGGTCCCTTTTTAATTCCATCTTGTATACTGTTTCACCAGATACTCAATTCTGAGAGGTAGGCAGAACAGGTATTGTCCTAATTTTATAGTGAAATAAATGTGTTTGTTTAAGGTAGAGCCTAAATTATAACCTAGGTCTCTGAATCTTTTTAATGCTTTTAACAAAGTTTTTGCCTCTTATGATTTATAGTGTTTGGGGCATGTTGTAGTCTTTAAATAAATTTGAGTTCCAACTTTTAAACTTTTTTATTGGTATCATTTAGTTATAAAGAACTATTGCAGTTCTTTCCTTAAATTGACTTATCATGAAACTTATAAAGGGGGACAACATTTTTGAGAAAATTCATAAATTTGATTTTTTTATCTTATTTCATGAGAATTCTGCTTTCAGCCAGGTGTAGTGGTASACACCTGTAATCCCAGTGACTCAGGAGGCTGAGACAGGAGGATTGCAAGCTCAAGGCCAGCTGGCCAACTAAGTGAGACCCTCTCTTTAAAAAGGGCTGGGGATGTGGCTCAGTGGTAGGGCACCCTTGGGTTCAATCCCTAGTACTACAAAAAGAAAAAAGAAAAAATGCCTGCTCTCACCAGGCTTTAAACCTGTCTTCCTTCTCTGGCCTACAAACACTTGCTTTTACTACTACATAGATCACAGAAACTTAATCCTTATATCTGCGCCCAAGTTTGTCTTTGTACATGTGCTTAGGCACAAACAAGGTAACAGTCCTCTCAGAAAAGCAAAGTTATTCTTATCGCTCTTGGTCTGATTATGTTGTCTTTTACCAAAACTCAGGGCAAGATTTTTTTTTCCCTTGAGTAACTGTTATAAAATTTACTAAATATTTTTTCAGGTGTGTGAAGTCTATAAACTTCACAGGGAGACGTTTTACTTGGCACAAGATTTCTTTGATCGGTATATGGCAACGCAAGAAAATATTGTAAAAACACTTTTACAGCTTATTGGGATTTCAGCTTTATTTATTGCTGCCAAACTTGAGGTAAATAGTTTCAAATATTTTATATAATATTTCTTGAGTTCCTCCTAAGATTAGGAGAAGAGGTCAGCTATTTGTCTGTAATGTATATCCTAAGTTTTTCTAATTTGAAGTCTTCTAAAGTTAAGACAGAAAGATATACAGAAAGACTGAGGACTAATGAAGAGAGGAGAGGAATAAATGTATAATGTATAAAATGTTTGGTTAATTTAGTTACTTTAAGCAAAAAAATTAAACCTTGAACTAAGAAGATAAAAATTTTGGTGTGACAATAAAAGAGTGTTTGAGCCCAACTTCCAGACATGTTAAGGATATTGAGAAGGTGAAAATTTTAAAAATACATTGAGTAAAGTTCTATTAATCACCATATGTATTCATTCATTTATTTAGTGGAAGTTGGAATTTCATTTTTTTTTACAATTAACACATACTGAACTGTTAAAGTAGCTCCTGTAGTAATCACATCAGTGTATCATTTTTCCATGCCAGGGTACTAAAAAATAATTTCAGATACACATTATAAGGTGAAATTATTATGATACTGGATGTTTGCTAATGGTATCTTTTATTTGCTTTTAGGAAATCTATCCTCCAAAGTTGCACCAATTTGCTTATGTTACAGATGGTGCTTGTTCAGGAGATGAAATTCTTACTATGGAATTAGTGATAATGAAGGTAGGTTACAAGTTATTTCCAGTCATTTTAAAACACACACATAAGTATTTCTCACATGAAGTTTGAGCACATCTGGTAGGTCTTTAGATGGGCACATTGTGGTGTGGAAAATGGCTACATCTTGAACTTCTTTTCACAACCATTGGTCTCTTTCCTGTTTTCCTTAGGCCCTTAAGTGGCGTTTAAGTCCCTTGACCATTGTGTCCTGGCTGAATGTATACATGCAGGTTGCATATCTAAATGACGTATATGAAGTGCTACTGCCGCAATATCCCCAGCAAATCTTTATACAGATTGCAGAGGTAAGTAGCTCCTTTGCCTCTAGGGGCTCCTAACCCCACTTCTAGTGAAGAACTCTAGAAGTGATGTGTGTGCCCCTCTGTTTCAGCGTTCTTTTCTTCTCATAGCTTTTAGATCTCTGCGTCCTTGATGTTGGCTGCTTAGAATTTCCCTACGGTGTACTTGCTGCTTCTGCCTTGTATCATTTCTCTTCATCTGAATTGATGCAAAAGGTTTCAGGTACGTTAGTTTTCTGGTGAATTCACAAACAAAGTGTATTATACTTAGACACCAATTGTCAACATCTGGTTGAGCCTATGGTTTCTTTTCATCACAGGGTACCAGTGGTGTGATATAGAGAAGTGTGTCAAGTGGATGGTTCCATTTGCCATGATTATAAGAGAGACAGGAAGTTCCAAACTAAAGCACTTCAGGGGGGTTCCTGCTGAAGATGCCCATAACATACAGACCCACGTCAACAGCTTGGATTTGCTGGTTAGTAATGTTTTTGCTCCAATCCTTCTTGACCAGAGAGAACCTTAAAGCTGCYTGGATAACCTATTCACTTCACTTCATGCAGCCTTCAGACATCCTAGAAAAATTCCCAATTCTCTTAATTCCTTGAAGAAAATTTCTGGTTTATAGATGCTATATGTCAGTTATCATGTAGACCATAGACTTTTAGGTGTTTTTTTGCTGTTTTTCCCCTTCACTCACCTCCTTACCAATAACGTATAGTAAGTGAAACAAAGGATATGTTCTTCCACCTTAACAGTTTTCCCTTTTCTTCTTATCAATAGGACAAAGCCCAAGCAAAGAAAGCCATATTGTCTGAACAAAACAGGATTTCTCCTCCCCCCTCGGGGGTCCTCACCCCACCACAGAGCAGTAAGAAGCAGAGCAGTGAGCAGGAAACAGTGTGACCACCCCAGCATTCTCCACCAAAGACAGTTGTGCGGAAGTGCCTGCTCATAGTTCTCTCCTGTCTACTGCAGTGGAGGCGTGTACTAGCTTTTACAGATATTTAAGTGAAGAGTATCTCTCTTCTGCAACAGAAGTATTTCTGTGATTGGCATTGGACAGGGAGAAGTGTTTTTTATTGAATACTTAGATTTTTTTAAATAAGTGGGTCAAGTACACCAGCCACCTCCAGAACACCAATGAGTGCTCCAGATGCTGCTAAGGAGGGTGATACTTGACTTGATTGACTGTTCACACAAATAACAAAGGCTTGAAGTTGAGGAGTGCCGCTGTTGCTGTTGGTCTCCCCTCGGGTGTTCTGGGTTGCCTCGTGTTCGGTGGAACAGGTGGTTGCGAGCAAGCATTGTGATGCACAGCCTCAACCAGCAGGACCTGCCCTTTACACATCAGTTGACAGTGTACCATGCCTCTTATGAACTTTTTGTTTTGTAAGTGCTGCTATGTCTATCCGTTTTTAATAAAGATAATACTGTCTTTGAGACAGCTGGTTTTATGAGCAGTGTCTGGTAATTAGAAGTTAGAAGTCAACTCAGTGTGGCTATGTCAAGTTCTCTTTTTGACTTCATGCTTCTTGAAGCTTGAATCTTTCTAGAGAAAACATTTAAAATAGGGAGTAAGCTTCAGACACAGCCTTGTCTACCTCTTGAGGCCCTTGGAGCTGGGAGTGAGACTTTTGATTTGGCACTTCTGCAGTTTCCTGCACAGGTGGCCACTCACATCAGGTTCATTAGCCATCAGTGGCAATGGTGCTAAAGTCATTTCCACATCTAGAAGGATTCATAAGTATAATTTCCACCCTGGGGCTGTTTGAAGGTTGTAAAGAAATCTGTAATTAATACTATACCTTTACCCAGATCTTAACCGAAAGAATAAATGAATTTTATTTGGAGAACTTAACATAGTAGCCTGAAACTGTGCTTCTAAGAAGAAAATGCAAAGTATAATATATGGCTGAAGGTCAGGATATAAAATTGCTCCTTGACTGAGGAACTGACCAAGTGCTTTGCTGATGGTCACTGTCCACCTGAAGGCCTGATGTGTGCTGCCCACATCACTTGTTGATATTCTCAGTCTTGTTTCACTTTCTAACTATGCTTCGATGTGTTGGGGGAAGGGGCAGGCACTCAAGGAAAGGTGAATGAGCAAATAAATACTACTTATTTTCAGCCGGTTTTATCTTATTTTGCAAAAATGTAATGTAAAAAGAAAACCAGCCATTTAAAATCTTTGATTTATTCCAAGTTGGAAGGAGACCTTACTTTTTTACATTGATGTGGTTCTGGCAAATTTTAATACAGTTTTCCTAATAAGCACATTAGAAATCCATATATAATGGTATCTAGTCAAACGATGACCACCCACCCCTTGCTAGTTATTTCTTCATCTCAGGTGCTTTTGTCTTAAAAGAAGTGAGCTTTGAACGGTGACCATTTGTGACTAGTTGGCAAAATCCTAAAAGTGGTTACTTAGTTTGGCATTTATCTGTAAAATTGGCACTGAAATACATTTCTATTTGCAAAGTTTTATTATAAAATTGAGAGCTTGACAAATGTGAGGTAACATGGATCTGAAAGCATATCTGAGGTAAATTTTAATTCATAGCTCATAAAGCCCTTAAACTACAAAGGATGTTATTGAAAACACTGAAATGAGAACACCTTATATATAAATGGTGCTCTTCTGGAAATCAGGATTTTTTTCAAATTGCAACATTGCCACAGGGAGCTCTTAATCATCTGTGCTAACAGAGGGTAAATAAAATCCACAGTGATCAATTTCTGTGGCTGTGTCAGAAACCCTAAGAGCCACCAGTAAATAAAAATCAAGTCTCCCCTCTTGAAAGTARCTTCCATTTGCTGGTAATCAGTTGGTGGCTACTTTGAGCTTTCTCTGATTGGCTCTATATACTTATTTGCCAGGTCATTTCTGCTATTCAACTAAAACCAACTGAGGTGAGGGAATGCCATCTACACATCAGAGGTGAAATGGTAGGCCAACCCAAGGAAGCAGATGCTATGAGGCCAAGATGTGGCACAGGAAGGACCAAAGAGATGATATAGGGCCCTTGGTCTGACTTTACAGTTTGGGGCTTACCTGTCCCTCAGAAGCTCATGGGTCAAAGGCTTGGTCCCCAGTGTGACAGTGTTCAGAGATGGAGCCTTGGGGAAGTGATGGGTCACAAGAACTGACAGCATGAATGGATTAATCCATTTATGGATTCATGCTTTAAAGGGTTTTGAGGGAGAGGCTCTGTTATAAAAGTGAGTTCTCTCTGCCTCACCACAGGACCACAGCGATGGAGCCAAAGCAACTGTGTATTGGAACCTCTGAAAAACAGCCAATATAAATCTTTCCTTCTTATAAATTAATTATCTCAGGTATTTTGTCACAGTGACAGAAAGCTAGCTCTGTGTTGGAGAAACCAACCTATTGACCAACCTTGAAGACTGGATTGTGGCACAAAATACCACACCCTCATATTTTTCCCCTGCTCACTTGCTATATCTCAGAGTTGCTATCATTTCTCTGCCCACTGTGCCTGAGGAAAAAGACAACAGGTTTCTGTATGGGGGGTTTTGAAGGTTTTCCAGTGTCATCTTCCCCGCATGAAATTTGGACCGCTTATTGTTTCATGGAGGCTATTAAATACCAAGTGGGTAAATCAATGGTGCTAATATTCACATGGACACCAAGTACCTGCAGCAGACAGGGAAAGCTGGGAGCCGTCGAAGATTTGCAGCCTAGCGCCTGATACACCTCTATCCTCTAACTCCAACACAAACAAGATTGGAGTTTATTCCGGCAAAATTAGGCTCTAGCTCAGAGCAGGGACGGAAAGAGAAATCAAATCTGATAATGTCTAGTCATATTTACCCAACCGTGCATTTTCCTACCACATGTTCAGCATTTTGAAATTCAAATCACATTTATACCTTGGACATTGTTAGAAGACTATTTTTATCCCTGCTGTAATCATCTAATTTGCTGATTACAGGTCTCAAATTGCCACAGAGAACTCAATTTTTGAAAGAATTGTCCTATTTGATCAAATATGTTATTCAAGCAATGCAGTCATTTGTTCCACAAGGTTACCTGCCAGGCAGAGTTAACCAGGAGTAATAGCATTAGAAGCCTATACTTAAAATCAAGCATTAGCTAATCTGCCTGTGACAATAGAGTCTTAAATATAATTTGCTGCAGATACTTCAGTTCCTGCACTGACAGACAATTGCATTTTGTATTCAATGAGCATAGATTTTCCCTACCTCGTCCTAATTCCAAATTTAACTCCAGAAGACTCTAATGTGCTCAGTTTCACTGGCTTACCAGGTACTATTTCCCAAGAGCCTCAGATGGAAGTGCAATGTTATTCTTTATTAAATAAACCTTCCCCACCCTTTCTCCCCCTCTTTAAATCACTGTCCTGATCAAAGCCAATTCCAAAAACTGTAGCATCTTTATCCAAACAGTTAAGTCTAATGCTTTTTCCAGCGTGATGTGTGAGATGTCCTCCTATTGATCCCCTATTGTGTGCTAAGCACTATCAATATGGGAGACAAAGATACAGACAGTGTGGCCAAGGGACTCAGGTGAGCCTGCAGGTGAGCCTGCAGGTGAGCTGTTATCTCATGAGGGTCCTAGTTTGAGCAGGTGGCCTCTGGGAGCAGAGGGCAGGAATAGCATTTCCGCTCTGCTTTAGAAGTGCAGCTGTTGAACACTCCTCAGCAGTTTGCAAAAAGTGCTCACAATTGGGCACAAGTAGGAGTCAGAGGATAGAGGTGTATCAGGAGGAAGGAGAAGATGAGGCAGAAGAGATGACAGAGAACATGTCACGAAGAGCTTTTGTACATCAAATAGAAGATGGGTGTAGTCTCCCCAGCACAGGAAGTTGGGTTTGATAAAGTGACCTGTTCAGAGCCAGTCTGGAGGCAGAGGATGAGGAAACAACCCAGAGTTAGGCCTCTCTGCACCATAAGAAAGAGACTGCTGCATACGGGGGACAAGCAGGAAGGCAATGGAATGTCTGTAAAAATCAGCTACACCAACACTAATTTCTAAACGGCCTTGCCTGGGTGACTGCCTCCATCTCCCTCAAGTTTCTGGCCCTGTACCTTTGTGCAGGCATTTGCCTGCCAACCTGCCCAATGCCAGCTTGAATCTCACTTCCTGAATGAGTCTGTCCCTGTCTTCGGCCCACACTGGTGTCATTTCTTCATTGGACTCTGCAGGCATTCACCTTCAACTGGGACTCAGCTTTGCCACTTCCTAGTGTGATCTGGGCTTAACTCCTCCAAGCTCAGTGTCCCTCAGTTATGAAATAAGGATTAAGGATGACAACAATGTTTTTTATCCCATAGAACTGAGGGGAAATGAAATGAGAAAAATGCACAGGAAATGTTTATCCCAGTGCTTTGCACATTAAAAAAATAATAAAAAATGGTGGTCACCATCCCTGAATCTACCACTGCTGGATGTGGTGGTATGATAGGATCTCTGATTCATAAACAACTCCTGTGAGTGGTTTAGAGCTGAGGACATGTCCCCCTGCATCTCTGGGGGACAGTGCTGAGGGTGAGACTGGCTGGATTCCCTGTGTGCCCCACACAGCTCACCTGAGAGCAGGGGGGACCCCAGGAGCACTTAGCAGTTTGCTCTGGTGTGCTCTCCTCCCTCCAGCCCGCTTCCTCTTCCCCAGTCATAAACCCCATCTTCCTCCCTTCCCAAGAAGCCCCTTTGAAAGTGTTATCTATACCACCGTCACTTCTGCAGCACCCTCCAGCTGGGCATATACGCAGGCCATCTAAGACACCTGCTCTAGTTTGGATCTGGAAGGTCCCCAAAGGCTCATGTGTTAAAGGTTTGGCCCTCAGTGTGACACTATTGGGAGGACAGAGCCCAGTGTGGGGTTTTGAGTCATGAGGAGCATGCCTGTGAAGAGGACAGTGGGACCCTAGCCCCTTCCTCTGCCTTTCCTTTACTACCTGGCCATGAGGGCAGCAGTTGTGCTCCACAAATTGCTGCCACAGTGTGCTACCCCTCCTACCAGAGGCCTAAAAGCAATGTGCCCATCCAAGCATGGGCCAGAAACTCCATAACTGTGAATCAAACCAAACCTTTCCTCTGCATATATTGATTATTTCAGGGATTTGTTATAGTAATGGAAAGCTGACTAACACAATCTCCAGGTGACAAATCTCACAGTGCTCTCCAGCCTCATCCCTGCCACATTTAGCTTTGCTGACTCCACCTGCCCTCTAGAAACGTTCCATCGTCCCTCAGCTTCTGTGGCTGCACACCTCCCAATTATATTCCTGATATCATTCCTCCCAAGTCCCTCCTCTCTGTTCCAACAAAAGTTGAAGGAGTCATAGGGCCCTTCAGGGCCACCCACCACTGCCCCTTGACATTCTGTCCCTGGGCAAGTTCACTACTCCAAAACTTATGACACCTCCTGGTTGCATCTCTACCCCAGTCAGCCTCCACCTGGCTTAAACCTGAATGGTCACCTGCCCAAAGGGTACTTCCACCTTCCCTCTCACCACTGCAAAACTCACTTCACCGTTCACCATTAATACAGTTGTCAAAAATGGGAACTGGCAATACACAATAAGCCCAAGAAAACTATTCAAAGCACAAATCATCAGAGAAATGCAAAATAAAACAACAAGATCAGTTTACACCACAGGTTGACAAAGATTTTAAAGTGCAGAGAATAACACAAATGACATCTGTGGACCCATCATCCAGATTTGCCATATTAGCTGCTCCTTCTCCTTTTTTTTTTTTTTTTTTTTAAGGTAGTGGGGATTAAACATAGGGGTACTTTACCACTGAACTATATCCCCAGCCCTTTTTATTCTTTATTTTGAGACAAGGTCTCATGAAGTTGCCCAGAATGGCCACAAAATTATGATTCTTTTATCTTGACGTCCTAAGTAGCTGTGACTGCAGGCATGTGCCACTATGTGGGCCACATACTTTTTAAAATAAAGAAATACAATATGACAGGCACAAGTGAAGTTCCCTAGAGTCCCTTCCCAGTCTCATGGTTCTTTTCTCCTCAGAGGAAACAACTACCAGGGGTAGAGTGTATGATTACTCCATTTATGTTTAGACTTTTATCATTTACA